ATGTTTCTTTTGTTGGTTTGATGGACTCGAGATGATTTTTCGCCATGAAAGTTTCGTTTTTGTGAACCTTCCAACTCTCTGAGCTACTACTCTTGCTGCTGCTTACACCATTTGTAGCCACTGGAATGCTCGCTGTATCGGTCAAGAAATCTTCAAGTGTTGCAAGAGATTGCAGCTGTTTCCCCAAAGAAGCTATTGTCTTCTGACAGTTCGCGAGTTTCCCTGCAGCTGTTTCTATGTCTTCCTGAAACATATATAATCAAAGTTTTAGTGACACCAAAAAGGTTTACTAAGACCTGAAATCTTGAGAACATACCTGTTTGATCTTAGGTTCTGTGTTTTCTCTCTTTATGGCGTTTTCTTGATGGAGAGAGACTTCTTCTTCAAGAGCCTCGCATTTTCTCCTAAGCTCATCGGAAGCAAACTTCTCCTTTTTTACGTCTTCTTCCAAAGATTCGATCTTTGCGGACTTAGTCTTTGCCTCTGCTTCCATTGCGATGATTTGAGATTCAACTTGTGCTTTTCGTTCATTAGCTAGTTTCATCTCCTTTTGGATCTCTTCCGACTTCATCTCAATTTCTTGAATACAATCTTGAGATTCTTTGTATTTATCTTTGATTATGTCAAAAGATATCTGCAGCTCAGCTTTCTCAACCTCCATCTTCTCCAACTTATTCTCCAGCTCCATTTTATCACAAACAACCGCTTCGAGCTCAAATCTCAACGTGCTCTCTACTTCTCTGTTACATTTAACTTCACCTTCAAGCTTATCTTTCTCCGCTTGTAACTTCTCCAAATCCTCTTCAAGTTGCTTAGTCCGGCAAGTCAATACTTCTATTTCAGCAGCCAACGAGCTCTCTGCGTGAACAACAGCCTCTTCTGTTACAGATTCAGGTCCACTTTTACCGTTCCCATCTGGTGTCTCGGGCAAGGCTACAAGACGTTCCATCTCAAGAAAATCACCCATGAGATCAATTTCAATGGAAGCAGAAGTTCCCTGAAGACTTCTCTTTTCAATCAATGTTGATGATGACCATGACTCAGAATCCATTCTTTCTCCTCCATCCGAATGACTATCCGTGGACCGATGATCATTAAACGAAGATGAAGATTTAGCCAACATCCTAAGCTTCCTACACTCAGCCTCGAGTTTCGCCACTTTCTTAATGCTATCTAACTGCTGCTTGCTAGCGGTTTCCGCCGCTTGAGTGCTCAAATCTCTCTCAATCATTCTGATCTCTAGCTCCTCGCATCGCGCAAGAAGCTCGTGTCTAAGCATCACGTTTTCCTTCGCCACAGATTCAGCCATTTGGCTAAGCTCCTCGGATTTTCTTGCAGCTTCAAGAATCTGGTTCTCGAGGCTGGTTTTAGAAGATTGAAACTCCTGTGTTCTCTCGGTCACAGCGTCTTGAATTCTCTGTTCTTGTTCGTCTCTCGCTTGCCTTAACTGTCTAACACATTCCTTTAGAGCTCCATCGAGATGGCTTACTCTATCTTCCAACACTTTATTCTTATCATCAGCAGCCTCGAGCTTCTCCTTTAACTCAACCACTTCATTCTCAGCTTTCTCCCAACCTTCACAAGATTCATAATTTCACTAAAAAGATTCACCAAAATCATAATCAAGAATTCGAAAAACAAGGAAGATTTCGATCATACCAGCGACAGCTTCTTCCGCGACTTTGACATGTTGCTTCACCAAATCATCTTTAGCACTCACGTTAGCAAGAGCAGCTGAAAGTTTCTCAGTTAAATTCTTGATGCTATCTTTCAAATCTTCGTTTTCCGTTTCGGTTTCGGTTTCTACTTCCAAAGAAACCTTTGGTGATTGTACTTCATCATCAACATGAGACTCCATTGTACTCTCAGGCTTGAGATAATAATGCAGACACACAAAATCAGTCATTTTACTAAAAGAACATAAGAAAACCAGTTTCTGTTGTTATCTTACTTGAATATCAGATTGTGAAGACACTGACTCTGATTCACCAAAGCTTCTCTCAGGTGATTCTCTCTTTCGTTTCTCCATTACAAAACTAATGAATCAGAACATAACAGTCTCAGGATCTGAAGAGAGAAACACACCAAGTAGTATTTAGAGTTTAAAAAACAACAAACTTTGAGATGAAGAAACTGGACCAACCACCAAACATGCAAAAGAAAGAGAATCTTGAAATAATCTAACAATCATTTATCTTAAAAGAATTGAATTGAAGAAACTGATTTTGTCTTTATCGTAACAAATGTTGCATTTTGTTTGTTCCAAATGTCCGTTTCATTGCGAAAAAAAAAACAAAAAAAAACTATAAAAGAAAGTTACAAGAACAAATAACAAAGCTTAAATCTTCAAAATTAACTTTGAAAATTGAAAAACATATTACTTTGAATCATCTTTAAAAACCAAATCATTCGAGTAAAATCAGTTCGAAATCTAACAAAAAAAACCCAAATTTAAGAGCAACATCAAAGAAGTAACACAGTAATGTAACAGTAGAGTCTGAAACAAAACTCCAAACAACAAGATTCCAAACAAAGGGCTAATCCAGAAAACACAAAGCAATTTAAGGAGAAATGAAAAACCAAAACATAGCAAGAGGATAATGTGGAAGAGAGAATATTAAAACGCGAATGAAATGGAATACCTTTTGTTGTCTGATGTATGAGAACTGTCTGAAGAACCTTTGAGATCCGAAAAATGTCACAATGG